TAAGTGTCAAGCCGAATTAAGGTTAATTTATCTTCCTTATTTTTTCTTTTGGTCGTTGTCCCAAATCTTCACCTCCTGGTTCTTTGGGAATTGAGTCCGGTTTTTAACAACAAAAACAGGGAGTTCTGCCATGGATTTCATCTACAGTCTAAGGCACAGGTTTGCGTTGCTCTGATATCACTTGCTAGCCCTTTTGTGCTAGAGGTGGTGTCAAGTACTGTCTGTGCTGGTTGGCTATGATGGCAAAATGGTGACTTAGATATTCTGCAATATTAATTGATTTATTCCTTGCCCCATTATATATGCATACCATAGTATTCTTTTTAAAGATTATACCACCTTGCCTTGCTTAACTGGATGGCCGCCTTCAGTTTGCTCTGTGTGTATTCTCTTTTGTGTTTATGATCGATTGCTGACTTTTTAATCGCTGAAATTGATGCCTTTATTTCTTTTCGATAATGGCAGATAAGGAACTATCTTATGATAATTTGGCATCAGGATTGAAGGAAGCACTTCAAAATGATAAGTCTGCATTTGATGCAGATCGCTTGCAAAAATACACTGGTAATCTGATTTAACGCTACATTTCTTTCAGCCTCAATATGCTGCGTTCTCCTACATATTTGTCCAAGCTCTTTCTCAATATTAAATAACTGGATTGACGTTATACTGGAAAAGGGTAAAAGTTGAAGTTGAAACTTAGTGAGGACTTAGTAACTTCAAATCTGATTGCAAAGTGTTCTTGGTCTGCTAGAACTTTCACTAAATACTGAAAAGACACATCTAATATACATACATAATTTTCTCTGTTTTAGATCTGTACATATATAACTTTGTATGACCTTTTGATTGAATTTGCCACTATTATAATGTCAGTAGTTATATATATTCATATATTTAATGATCTGAACGAAGTGCATGTTTTATCGTTGACAAAAAATTATTTAGCCTGATCCTTATGTCTCAACTTCGTGAATATTTCCTTTTTATTACATCTACATACAAGATATTTATCGCTTTATTAATGTTGTCATATTTGAAGAGATAATATGTGTGAAAGATCATGTTACCAGGTCCTGAACTCCGAAAAATTTTGAAATGGCCAAGTCCACTTCCCTTGGAGGATGAACGAGTGCGTTTAATGCACGAGGTACAGTTTTCAAAATTCTGTGCTTTGATTTTTCTTTTGTATCGATTTATTCATCTCCATCAAGTCCTTTGGCTTCATGTGATGATTTAGGTTGGATTTGAGCTAGAACGATCATTTGATGGAAAGGCATCCAAACTTGTTGAGTGTTGTGAAAAATCAGCTTCAAAGCTGGTTTCTCTCATCACATGCCACTTCCCAGGTATGCCTATACAGTGTACTCTGGAAATAACATTATTTAATTCATCAATATTCAAATTACTCAATTCATTATTATTCTCAGGGTTCCGTGATCACACAGTATACAAAGGTCGCCAAATTTTCTTGTATAAAAGAGCTCAGATATTTGCTGCTGATTTATGGGGTGCATTTAAGGGTCGAGGATATGGCGAATTCAACGATGTAGAATCGCTAACAATGTTTGCTGATTATATTGTCCCAGCAGTGCTTCAGCAGCTTGGAGTACTGAGATATAGTTTGTCGCTATCCAACCTTATTGAATCTAATACAGAGATTTGTTCAGGAAGTGAAGAGGAAGTAGAACTGCGAGCATGCTCAGTATATGCTGTAGAGGAAATTAGGGACTTGATTCATAGAAAGTCTGGAAAGCAGGTTAGTCTCTGTTATCCTCTCTCCTGTAGTTCTTTTTAAGAAAATTTAAAGGCAAACCTATGGAGGCATATAAAATACATGTTCTGAGGTCTGACAGAGTAACTGATTTAATGAGTGAAAATACGTTGATGAGAGTCTTCAGTCTGGACAGAGTCTGCATCCTTTTAAAGTGTTATACACATTCTCTGGAAATAAGATAGTTTCTAAAATAAATGATCTATAGAAAAAATTTTGACTAGGAAGATGGATAGTTTGTTAAGAGGCAACGATCCAAGGTTTTGTGAAAGCTTTCTCATTGACGCACATTAATAGATAGGATTCTTGACAGAATAAGTTCTGTTCCAGTTTTCTCTTGTTTTTTCTCCATGAAAGAAACAAGGACTTCGGCGAACAATTGTCTCCCAGGATTTTAAAGCCTGATAAGCTACGCGTCATTACATATGGCCTAGAGATGTGTACCAAATTGGACGTTGGACAAAACCTTTTAATTTAAAGCTTGTTTGGGAGTATTTTTTGCCCCAAAAAATTGATTTTTTCACCGTTATTTCACTATTCCAGCTGTCATGTTTGACTTCTTCTCTCACAGGTGGACCCCACTTTTTTCCTAACGGTCAAAAAATCAATTCTCAAAATCACTCCCAAACAGGCTCTTAACTCTTCTCGTGAAAATATCTTCTGACATGGTATTTTATAATTATTTGAAGAGGTCGGATCTGTAAATAAAGTTTGTAGGCAACAAATTCAGTTGAAAGAAAGTAATGAAGTTTACATATTGTTGAACAAATCATGGCTCAATTCTCACATTTGGTTGTGCCATCCAGCCTCAAGCCTGATTGAACTTCAAACTATCACCATTTCAAAACGAACTCAAATCTGTTTAAGCATCCCTGTAATTTTTGTTGAAGCTCTCTCTTGGACATCTTTACAGCAGTCTTGTCCTTTTTCCCTTTGCCACAGTGAATACCCGTCTCTGTCCTTCGCCATGTGGAACCCTTTCTGGTAACTTGAGCAATTACTTCGATGTAGTTGTAATTAGAATGAATAAGTGGCCTGTGGAGATTGACAGAGGGGACAGGGATGGCTAATTTCTGGAAGCAAACTGTTTTATTTACAACAGTCATTCTAAATGGTGGTTGCTTGAAGCAGAATTCTGCCGGAAGTGTTCGTTTTTTTCACTCCTTACATTGTAAAACTCTTTCTATTCACCTAGGATGGCTTCAGCGTCTATTATTGCTTGAATTTTATTATGGTTAAGATAGGTTGAGAATGTCTGCAGCTTGAATGTGTTAGTCTGAATGCTACTGCATATTTATAGTTGATCAGAAACTAGAACTAGAACTATGAAAGACTTCATCTCTAAAAGTTCAGTGTTTTGCTCACAATTAACTATTGGAACATAAAAATTTGTGACCCTTATTATTATGTTTAAAATTTGTTTTCCATTAAAAATGTTGTTTTATGTACGAAAACTTATCGCATGAATTAATTGTGCTAGTCTATATCAATTTAGATTTTCTAAGCTCCCTTCACTGGCCTATACATTTTCTTTTAATAAATTCAAGGCATTTCTCTTTTTGTCCAGGTTTTGAGTGTGGAATTGGATCTTTGGTTATGGTCTTTTGGTGTCCACTGCCCATCTCTTCAACACCATCAAACGCTCTCTATATATTATTGAGTGGCCTGCATGCTGTTCTAGGGCGATGGAAAAACTTCTCTTTAAACATTTGAGCGGTCAAGCACTGTGCAAGTGCAGTATGCATGTTGTTTTAAGAGCAGTTCTTGCAGTAAATTACTTGAATAGCTTTCGTTTACCTAATTTCAGCTGCACTAGGATTTTCATCAAATAACCTGATCACCAAACTAGGTTTATATCTTTTGGCAATGTAACAGTGAGTTGAATATTTGGTTGCTTGTCATTTTCTTCTTGCCCTTGGAATCTTAGATTTGGAAAATTAGAAAGCTGCTTTCTCTTTCAAACTTGTTAGGCCTTTTTTTGGGCGATGAAAACTGCAATGAACCTCTGTTAGTCTGTTTCCATCGAAAATTAACGTCTTTTGTTGAAACACTTCCATGACCAGATTCACATTCTTTCTCATGCTCGGGAGGGTGGATTCCCTCTATTTCCAAACAAAAGAAACACAGTAGAGCAATGAGGATACCAGGAGTTCTTTTTTCGTGCTCGGGAGGGTGGATTCCCACTATTTCCAAACGAAAGAAACACAGTAGAGCAATGAGGATACCAGCAGCAGTCCTATTCTTCTTGAGTGAAAGATCTCCCTTACCTAGAATGGATAGATGAGGATGTATGTAGAGAAGAATGACATATCTTATGCAAGTCGTTTGTCAAATTCAAAGAACTCGATGTGGGATTCCCATTTTGTTGTGTTTGACATGCTTACGGCGAGTTCCTAGGTTCATGGTAGCTGTTGCGCCACTGGAATGTCATACTCTATGGCCTATCTGGCACCCGCTTTGCCAAATTGAGAATTCTAGAGGTAGGCCTTTTGGTGGTGCTTGTCTTGTGTTTCTGGCTTGAGCTTCAACATCTTGTGTTCAACAACCTTACCGCTTGCTAGAGGGAGCATTCTTTGTCATCTTAGCTCGGTCGATATTAAAGTGCATTCTGTGTTCGAGGTACAATGGATGCTCCTAAGTTTGAACGGGTGAATTTGGCTTAGGTTAAACATTATACTTATGTTGGATAGTACTAATTTCGACATTGAGGTGGTGTTTACCTCTCTAATTTTGAGAAGATTCAGGGGAGTCAAAACCCAATTAATATGCTTATGCAGAAGGTTAGAGCATCTTCAAAAGATCATATGAATACAATTTTTTTTTTTTTTT